TGTAACCATTAGATCAACTATCTTCGACGGTTACTAAACGATCTAACGGTTATAAATCTGACGGAATGGTTCCGTAATGAGACGTAGCATTTCCCTAAATCATAAATAGTTAATACTCGAAATTATAGATTTGCACATGAATACCATGTCCATGACCTGCGCTGATTTGTGTCTTAACTCTTAACCTCCAAATGCTACAATCCACGAGGGTTGACTTTTTGTAATATAATATAACTCCAAAAAATATGAACAATTTGGCTTTTTTAGTGGGTTGGTCGTGATAATTAATAGGTGTGGGTTAAAGAAAAAATAATTCAAAATAAACGGATTCCTTTTCCCCACATGAAGCAACAATTAAGAACGGCCAATCAAAAGGATATATAAAAAGGCTTAAATAAATCCAATTCCAATCTACAGGCGGTTTCGAGTCGGAATTGCCGGTTCTGGGCCACCAGTTTTGAAGGCTCTTATTGTTATGCGATATCTGAAACAACGGATTAATGGAAATTTTCTAAATTACAATGTGTTTAATTGTGATGAGATTCGATGATTTAGAATTTCATATAGTGAACAGCTCGGTTTCTTAGTACAAAGTTATTCTTCTAAAGAGAGTTGATCGAATCTATCGTTTTTACAATAAATGAGGGGTACTTATACTATGCGACCCACAAGTGTGATTCTCGATGCTAGCTTTAATGTGATTTGATTGCAGCGTGCGGCTCAACATAGTACGTCCCACACATGATGATTGCTTTTCTCGCCAGTACGATTTACATATGTCACGTCCGCATTAAATATGCTATAGACCTTCAAAAACATTGAGGTTGGATCCTCTAAGGTGGGATAACCGAGCTCTTTACTGCATCATTTGGTTGTCGATCCCTTTTCTTTATGGTCGTAGGTCGACCGCAGGAGGAAGAGGTCGGGTCTTCTCTATGATAAGGTTCACTCCGAGTTGTTGTCTGCAGTAACATTTTCCCTCATGGTCACGGGCTGATCTCAATGGCGAGGAGCTCGAGTCCCTTGCTTGTCCCCAAGTTTCCCACCGAGCCGATCTTTATTTATCGTTGGGTCGGATTAAGTTATTTGGCTCATCTTTAAGTTATCAACATGTTGTAGTTTGTGTTATACAATATGTGTTTTGAATTACAACGGGAACCTATGAACTGACTGAAGTGTTCAATTCGTACAATATGAACTAAAATAAAATAAAAAATACAACTCGAATGCGGACAGATTAAAGCCGAGGCGATATATTGAAATCTTTCCGCAAGACAAATACGTCCCGTATAGTGCTGACGGGTCTGTGCGTAATGTCCCCAAAGATTCAACGGCAATACACTCGGAAGCTGTAGCACACCAGTCTTCCGAGTTCCAGCGAACGGGAATAAAGACAAGAACTGAGCACTATGATATGATGCGTGAGGTTTTGATGTTATTCAGAAAACATGCAATGTTGTCTATGTTTTTCTCTGCAGTTCTAAGTCCTATTGTAACGCCCAGATTTTTAATTACTTTTTATGGAGCTCGACTATATTTCCATAAA